ACTATTATATATTCAGAATTGTGTCAGCCGTTTCATGTACAATGGCTGCAATGGAAACGGTAATCGCTTCGAGACCGCCGCTGAGTGCAAAAATCTTTGCGTGAACGGTAATGGGGCAACTCAACCCCAACGTGACGACACGGCATCTCTTCACCAGGCAATGCAAGGTGAGCGCCTTTTTACCCCTTCCCCGAAATTGACTCAAAGGCAGAGTCCGGGATAAAGCTGATGTGCTGTTACGTTAGTGAGTAACAGTGGAGATATGAAGTGTAACATAACTAATGAAGAAATGGGAAAAAAGTCGGCAGGGAAGATAATAAATCCTCCTCTCCAGTAGCGGTGAAGCGAAATAGCAACGATTTGTGGGCGGAGTCAGTGGTGTTGGGCGGAGCCAGTTCTGCATCCTAGAGCCTTAGCGCCTCGATCTTGTCAAATCATCCTCGGAAGTTGTGTACATGCTCTTGCTTGCGTACCACTTCAATTTTCTCAGGAATAAGCTTAATTTCGATTAGGAATCCCGGAACTGAATTTCAGTATCACCCAATTCTTAGTAATTATTTAAGATCTGCTCCACTAATGGGGTCCATATGGTGCAGTGCAATCGTACCGTCTACCTCAAAATCAATTTTTGCAGGAGTGGAGAAATTAATGGGCGCGAACCATTTCGCTTCAGATTTTCCACTCGCGCCAGAGCCCTATTTCCTTGTAATAAGTGGAATTACTGTAGGCGGTGCAAACAGTTGCATTGCATGAATATCCTTATTGGAACCACCTTATGTGCCAATTATTTTGATTTTGAAAACATAGAGGGGTAAATTTGAAATTACTCAGGAACTCATGACAAGAGTGGCTTCTCGTTCAGTAACGATTTCCAAGCGAAAAAAATGTCAGGAATCGCGAGTAACTTCCGCATAAATAAACTTTCAATGCCCAATAATAGCGAAAAATAAATGTATATAATAATTATATAAGATTAAACAAGAAAAATGTAGATGTTAAAAAACACGAAGAAGCTTCAAGAAGCTTATTGCAAAACGAAAACGAAAAATTTGCAACAACCTTTTTTGGGTCTCATAGTTTTTTCAGACAATCAGATCAAAATGAGGGTTCGGGACGGCAATGTTCCAAAATAATAATCTTGTATAAATATTATTGAAAAATTTCTAGCGGCCTGCCAAGGCGAGTATGCCGTTGCTCACTTGACACCTCAACAGTGCGGCGGAAACGGTCAACAGTGTCCAACAGGATATCAGTGCACCTCCGAATTCTGCTGTCCTACTCCAGGTAATTTTTTAAAACAATTTTTCAGAAAGTGTGGTAAATGTTCAGTTGAGATACCATTAGAACATGCAGGCATTTGTCTGTGTTTCCACAACTGCGGACGAATGCATGACGTAGCGTCTATGAAATTTTTACCGCGAGCACTTATTTAACTATCATTTTATAAGCTTCGTTGCGTAAGCGAAAAGGACGGTACCACTTAAATTGAACCCATGGCATTTTGCCTTGCCTCGAAGGCAGACATGTGATTACGATGGTTCGATGATGGCACGACTTGGCCGAAGTCATCAAATGACATTGGTCGAAGGGCGATAGGAGGCGGTCCCATTGTGGCCCTCAGTGGCAGGGTGAATAACGGTCGAAGGATTCCTCGACCATCGCTCTCTGCTGTGCGAGAGTAGAGCCGATAGTGAATGTACGCGCGGAGAGCACAGACGGCTCGCGGGTGGCGAGAGTGAATATCCGCGCGCGAGAACGTAAAGGATCAGGCGAAAATCCTCGACGTGCCGTTGAGGAATCCTCAAGCAATATTTACCCTGCTCAGTGCGCTGAAGAGCTAGAACCAATGACGTCATCAAAATAGCACCTCCTCTAACCATTGTGATCGGTGCCTTTAAATTCGCTGTGAGGTATACTATATATGCCAAATCATATTAATGGCCGCATCCAATTCAAGTCGGCTCCACGAGGAAGGTTTTTTCTGGCCGTGTGGCGGATGTGGCCGACTTTGTCCAAGACTTCTTTCTGGATGAGGCACCATGGCCAACTGGTGTGGTCACTAGCTTATTGGTTTCTGCATTTCAAGGGCTGTCAGTGCAGTGCAGTTGGGGCATGCGTGGCTCAATTCGTATAGATGGAGTCTATTCCACGCCTACCCACAGAATATACTGGGAATTCCGCGGACTACCACTGCTGGCTCGGGTCAATTTGTTTGTTTTTGGTTGAGTTCCTTCTGCAATTTCTATTCCTACCCCTAGTTCCCTCTACTGGCGCACTCTGTTGAGGAGTGTATAAATAAATAAATGATAAATAATAAAAATCTCTTAGCAACAGAAAGAGCTGCTCACGAGATTAGCCCAGCATATAACTTCCAGATTACCTCTGCAACCTTCGTTATGATTCTGGTAAGTTCGCTGTTGGCGGTGAGAAAAGCGATCGTTACTTCTACACCAGTGAATACAGGACCTGCATGAGGTGAGCGGCACCTCAGCTCAATTTATTTTACGACATTTCTGTACTAAATACGTCACACCAGATGCTTCACGTTGAAGCATATCATTTTTAATTTATCGCTTATTGCCGTGGTTTCTCTTCTTGAGTACTTTCGCTATTTTGCCGGAACATTCTATAAAAGCGGACTTTGACTCGATTTCCCCTCCTTCCCCGTTTTCCCCTCCTTCCTCCTCCCCCGTCTCCCCTTGTCGCTCAAAAACTTACAAGTAGCTTTTCTCGTCACAAAAGAGTAACTTCATAAAATGGGCCGAAGTTTAAAGTTTAGAATTCTCACATTCCTTATTTCAGATTTTCCTTCTATGGGTCCACTCGGTAACGAGAACAACTTTGCCGATTACAATTCATTAGCATGAGAACCTGCGTTCAAACCAAAGTGATCAAATACAGACTTTGGTCGCTCACCAGTCACGTCTACGGTGTTTTCTTGAGAAGCAATCATAAAGAACCTTTGTGTCTGTTTGTGCTGTATCTTGTGATACTTTCAAGTGTGTTTGTCCCGACCATGTGAAGGGGTCCTCGAATCTTGATGGGCCTCAAAGCCAATGAGTGCTGTGGCTGTGAGGGGGTTCACTTGAGGGAAGTCTTGCTGGAAGGGCAGTGGAGTAGGCTCAACCCCTCTTCGGTAAACAATACCAAGGGGGGAGAGTCGTATTTGTGAATTGGGGATCATATCGTCCAAACCGCTGCTGTACACATACCAAGCGGGAGGTGCGTATTTTGTGATTGGGGATCAATATTTATGGCCTCAGTGATAGTGAGGGAGGGAGGTCGCAGAGATTGCACGGGTAAGGCCGATGTCGCGCGATTCGCTACTAGCGATTTCGCGCGCGATTCGCTAGCGTCCGCGGTCGCGTTGCGGTACCAGCCAATTGAGTGATTCACTGGCCGCGACGCGACCGCAGACGCTAGCGAATCGCGCGATTCGCAAAGTCTGACATCGGCCTTAAGGTTTGACTAGATCCCTTCCTTGGCGCTCTTCCACCAAACGTTTTTTTTGGCAATATACAATAGCTCACCTTCCAGCTATGCGCTGCGTTGCGCTAATGCGTACTTACTACGCAACCGAAGTCAATAGCTATAAAATTTCTTATCGCGAGTTGTACTGTTCGATGGCTCCTGACGGTATCAACCAGGGTCAACCGTCCGTTCGAACTGTTCGAACGAAGGGGTCGCATTTTGGTCGGAAGGGGGTCGCAATTTCGAGGACTGCCAGCCACAGGCGCGTGCGTGGCGTATCCGAGGGCAAGAATTGTTTGTGCAGACCGCATTAGATTCGATTAATTATGCACAGAGAGACAGTTTTAGGCAAATTACGGTGTTTTCCTTGAGGAATAAAGAACAGTTGAATGCATCCCTATGAAAGGTTTGACTTCTCGGGGCTGAAATTAAAGTTCTTCGGGACCTGATTTTCTGAGGACGATTCTTCCAGACAACGGTAAAACACATAAGAAAGCAGAAATCTCGTAGTCTTCAAAAATGTCTTCGCCCTCCCCAACAAGTTCTTTGAAGGAAGTTATTATTGCTGAAAGCTCAAAAACTCGCATGTGCTGCTCAAAAACCTATGGGAACAAAATGTTCGAACGTGTGATTTTCTCGGAAAATGGATTTTGAAAAACGGTTTGGTGCTTGTTAGAAAGAGCAAATCCTGCTCTTTCACCCCATGGAAAGTGTGCATCACAGAAATGAAAATGAAGTGAGTTATGCCCGCTGAAAGCCCAAAAACTCGCGATTTCAAAAAAAGTGTTCGAACGGGGCGATTTTTTGAAAAAGAGGACAATCGTCAAACTTTTTATATTATTTTGTTAGAGAAATATTTGAAGTTTCTGAAACTTTTTACAGATTTCCAAAATGTCGCATACGAAAGATTTTATGGGCCTTCAAAGTTGAAGGTGCGCCTTCTTAGAATTTTGGGTTTTCCACTTCTAACAGAAGTACTTTCCGGAGAGTTAGGCAATCCTTGTAGTTTTCTGAAGCGCACCTCAGGCACAATCAAAATCTACCTCAACAAGTCAAAAAATACGTCCCAAGAAAGTTATTCCCCTCTAAAATTTTTTCTTCGCCCCCCCCCCCCCCCCCCCCCCCCCCCCCCCCCCCCCCCCCCCCCCCCCCCCCCCCCCCCCCCCCCCCCCCCCCCCCCCCCCCCCCCCCCCCCCCCCCCCCCCCCCCCCCCCCCCCCCCCCCCCCCCCCCCCCCCCCCCCCCCCCCCCCCCCCCCCCCCCCCCCCCCCCCCCCCCCCCCCCCCCCCCCCCCCCCCCCCCCCCCCCCCCCCCCCCCCCCCCCCCCCCCCCCCCCCCCCCCCCCCCCCCCCCCCCCCCCCCCCCCCCCCCCCCCCCCCCCCCCCCCCCCCCCCCCCCCCCCCCCCCCCCCCCCCCCCCCCCCCCCCCCCCCCCCCCCCCCCCCCCCAGCGCCCGGGATACCTGCCGCGCTCCAAGGCCGACGCGACGACGCGCA